TGTTTGAGTCCTTCAGGCTCTGGAGTGTTCCTGTTGCTGCTCTCAGAACAGAAACTGGTGTTCTTCCTGATGACTTGACTTTCTGCAGCTTCTCTGATTTACCTTAAAATTAAATAAAATAAGCAAAAAGCGCAGAACTTCAATCTAAGCATCAAGGATGATGTTTGTTTTGTTTCACACAGTGTTTGTAAAGTACCTCAAAGTGATACTTGAGTAAAAGTACAAGTATCTTRTCATAAAATTACTTTGGTAAAAGTTAAAATCTAAGACTTTTACTCAAGTAACATTTTTAGAGAAGTATCTGATATTTTTTGTACTTAAGTATCAAAAGTAAATTTCTGACACAAAATCTACTTAAGTATTAAAAGTAAAAGTACTGAGTAAAAGTGAGCAGTTAGATTTTCCAAAATGACATTTATTGGGAGGTGATTTGTCCAAAAATATTTTTGATGATGGGTTGTGTACAAGCTAATACTGCATCAGAATGGTATATATTTATACTTCTCATCCAACCACAATTAAATTCACTCTATCCAGGAGACACATTTTATCAGGATAGTACTTTTTAAGTAATAACAACTCGGAATAAGATAGGAGTAATGACTTTCTACTTCTTACCTTTTTTAAAAATGTAGTGAGTAGAAAGTACAGATAATTGTGTAAAAATGCAATGAGTAAAAATAAAAAGTACGCTGAAAAATAACTACTCAAGTAAAGTACAGATAACCAAAATTTCTACTTAAGTACAGTAACAAAGTATTTACTTTACAACTCTGGTTTCAGAGGGTTTTTTCCAACAATTACCAATGCAGGCTGAAAATTGAATTGTTGGCATTTAGGCAGTTTAGCTATGTGTTCATGTTGGGTTTTAAAGTCAACATCTAAGAGGAAATTTTTAGTTTCCAATATGGGTAATCTTGGGAAAGACTCTCATCAAACTTTAACTTATTTATACTTTTTGCCTTTATTAAGGGGAATATTGGCTAAAAAGCAGCCTAACATTTGGTCTGTGGGAGGAAACCAGAATAAACCCACTCAAACATGCAAAGTGCTGAAGCAGGGATCAAACCCAACCCCTTCTTGCAATGTGGCAGTGGGACAAACCACTGATCCATCATGCTGCTTTAGTTTGCCAAGGTCGATCAGCTAAATATAAACTGCAAAAATATCCCATTACAGGCTGAAACATCTCCGCGTGCATTCCTTTTATGATGTGTTTTTCATCAAAGTGTGACCTGATATATGTGTTTTTGGATGATGTAAATCCTGCCTCCAAGCTGGGTCACATTCCATTCCTGAGGCTGAGGGGAAAACGTTGACCATCAATCTCAAYGCGCGAGTCTTGAAGGGCCCGGGTGGAGTTGTGTTCCGTGTAAACACCACCCACGCCCTCGTGAAGAGCGACGGGACGAAGCTTCAGCTTTCAGGTGCCGCACGTTTGCCGCTGCTGAAAAGCAGCATCTGCATTCCTCTGATGTAACACCGAGGTGCTGCTGAGACAAGTCAACCTTCACCATGACTCAGACACAACTTATATTCTTTACAGTAACGTGATTAACCTTTCCTGATTTTTTTTTTCCTGTCCTGTCAGGAGAAACAAAAGACAAACGACCGCTTTAGTAGCATATTTGACTAAATTAGGATAAACTCAGATTAAGCTGATAAATGCAGAACATTTAAGGAGGCCGAAGTGAACATACATGGCTCGTAAAAGAGGAGCTCAGTCCAGTGTTTTGGTTCTGGTGTGTGTGTGTGTGTGTGTGTGTGTGTGTGTGTGTGTGTGTGTGTGTGTGTGTGTGTGTGTG